CCCCAAAACCCCAAAACCCCAAAACCCCAGAACTAAAAATTTCAGGAATTTGGGGGGAAATTATGTATATAATATAAATTTTAAGATAAATAAAATAATAAGATTAATAAAGGCAATTATTTGGTACTAATGGAAACACACGAATAGCAAGATGCTTATAAAGAAAATGACAATTAATATGAAATATAACACCTAAATTAAAAAGATATTAATGAGGCTGATAATGGTGTAGAGTTGGCGCAGAGTTCAGATACTTAAAAGAAAAATGCACCTATGAATACTAACAAAGATTCACAGTAAGCAATAAATTATCATTAATACAGTTATAGCTTTGATCCAAAATCGGATTAACCCGCTCCTAATGAGAAATAATTTGAAACTAATTTCAAAAATATAACAAAAAGATAGCAGAGCTTCAAAGAATTTAGACGATCCGTTTATGATGGTCCAGTTTAGCCTGAGAACGAGTATAATGAGGCTTAACTGCTAAAAGCAAAGAGAGAATCAGTATAATAATGTATAATCTATTCTTTATCTTGTGGCATTTGGATTGGATATGGAGTAGGTAATAGAGACGCAGTGAACATTAAAACACCCGATTATAGCTGTAATACTCCAATTTCAACGTGGCTAATTGTAATGGGGGCCACTTATGGACTATAGTTCATCTTTTCTTATATCCAAATGATGATCGTATTTACTAAAAAGGAAAAATCAAAGCATGCTGTTTAGGTACTTAATCTATTACATTTTATCTTGATTACCAATTTCTAAGTAACTTGGCTTATTTACGGTAATACCTTTCATTATTCTTCAAATAGTATGATGTGCAGAAAAAACGATAAATAATACTAGATTATGTGGGTTTTAATGATGATTTCAATAAGTATAGGATATGCCATCTTCTTAGCATATGCAATAATTTCTGGCTGCTGCATTTGCTTATGTTGTATTATTTTTGGCAAAGCTGGTAAAAGCAGATAATAATCCGACATCACTGGTAAAATGCCATTTATGAATGCAATAAAAATTCTGAGCAAAAAGAACTCAAAGAAAGTTGAAGAAACCAGCAAGAATTCGAATGATTGTACAATCTGTCTTGCCAAACTCTAAGATGATTAAGAAATTACTGAATTGAATTGCGAAATGGGACATTATTTTCACACTGACTGTATTTAGAATTGGATGAAGAAAAAACCTGAATGCCCACTTTGCAAGAAGCCAGTGGAAGCAATAAAAATGTTTTGAAAAATAAAAAATCCAGATTTAAGGCTTGCCTGAGACATATTGACACTAATGGATAATTATAATAATCAACAATTCATATTAAATTAATCCAATACTAAGAGAATATTTATTATTCATTTCGCAATCAATCATTGCCAAACCTTCTATGGGGTTTTGGGGTTTTGGGGTTTTGGGG